GGATCTGGTACTTTTCTATACTTTCCACTACCGTTTCTGTTAGCTGCCTCTTCAACTACCTCTTCAAAAAATTGTTCCGATTTGTAGACAGGGGTCTTAGATTTCCTTTTATTCAGTACTATTTTCCTGGAAACAAACTAAAAATTAAACACTCGAGAAACTCGAAAAAATCTGCTTTCTAGTATTTCTTTAAAAGTCTGACATATTTTCAGAATTTATTACCCAAATGATACTAAGTCAATAATTAGGCTCTCTTAGACAGCATCATATGACCCAAACTCTCCTTCCATTTTATCTTTGCATGACGGCAAGCCTAAAGTTCCCATTTCCACTTCTGTTTTTGCCTACTTTATACTTCACTAAACATTTATTTACAGCAGAATCTTCCTCTTAGTCTATTCCAATGTTACTGCTGAACCAGCTTTCTGCTATTACTCTTCAAACCCATTACCTTCCCGTCAGTGATTTTCACGATATGTTTATGTTTTTTTTCTGGTCTTTCTACGAAACCAGAAGATTTGTACAGTCATAAGATCTTAATTTTGGATCTAGTATCTCTTTTTTACCTGATCACTATCAGATCCAGGACTGAATTAAATCTTATTACTTCTTCCAGTTGTTTTAAGTACTACACAAAAATATTCTCCTGTAACCTACTTTGAAACACCTCTTGCATCTAACTCAAATACTTCTTTTACAACTTTTCATATATTTTCATACACATAGCAACATATCTATATATAACATACATATAATATGTCTGTATACATATATGATGATCATAGAGACCCTCATAAACCTAGAGAAAGGCAACTGAATTAATCATTCGACAAAATCTTCATGGATTTTGCATTTTCCATTTTCATTTGTGAAATTATTTCTGTATCTGCCAGCCATGTGAATTGTAAGACCTGCAAGCAGAGTGGTTGTTTTATAAATTATGCTTTCTCTCACTTATATGCCTTATATAGCAACTGACAGTTATTTTCTATTTATGTCTTAGCCAGACCTGTTCGTAATGCGATCAAAGAACATTTCTTGGAATTTGTAGTGGTACTGCACCTCTCAAGACCACCTGTACCTAAGCTGTGTTTATGAACAGAAAGACTTATTCTTTCACAATTATTTCCTGCAGGATTTAATAGATGAAGTATGTTTTCACATCTTGATGTAGCAATTCACTCAACTTTATTCTCCTCTTGTAGATGTTTCCCTGTGGTTACACTTACTCATTTGCTGAAAAATCATTCCTGTTTTGTTAGTATTTCCAGTTAAGCTTTCCTCATTGTTCCTAATATATCTAAAAATAAAGACTTTCTAATTGATTGTTTAACTGAGACATTATCAGTCTAAAATTGCAAATCAAAAATATACAAAGTATATTATTATCTTCAAACTACAAGTCTAAATTTTAGATTAGTAGTACTATTAAACAAGTAGTACTAATTAAACAAGTACTGTAAAACAACAGTTTCATAACTTAACAAGTTATATCAATACAGTATTCCCAAAACTAATTTTCTAAAACTACACTAATTTAAGTCAGTTTCATGTACTTCCTTCTAACAATAGTACACCATTGTTAGAATTGTATTATTTCTCATGATGACTAAGGCCTCATTCCATAACTACTCTGCTGTAAAATGAATACGACTATTAAGTAAGGGACTATTTCAGGATTTGTATTGCATTATATAGTTAATAAAAAGGACAAACCTTCAGTAAGCAGTAGTGACTTAACTGTATGCATGCCAATTTATACCATTTGAGGATATACCCCAGAAAGTCCTATCAGATTTTACGTAGTTTTTAATATTCTTTCTTTTTCTATGGATGATTTCATATAGTTCTTTTTTAAAAAAATCATTGCAGTTGATGCAACTTCTGGCAAAAATCTTCCTGCTACTGTTGTTCAACACAAACTCTATCCTTAGTGTAACTGTTTTAGAGATTCCAAATTGCCTCTGCTTTCTAATCCTTGTCTGTACTGTCATCCTCACGCCCAGTAAACAAATCTGGCAAAGAAGGTGCTTTTTTAATGGCCTCAAAATTATGCAAAAGTCCTGCCTGTAACTACATTAATTAAAAAATTTTAGGCACCATAAATTACATTCTCATTCACATCTCCAATAATTTTCTAGCATATTGCTATTATTACTGCTATTGTTATTACTGAAAATTACTGTAAGTATCAGAAGAGGCTTCAGTTATTTTACCCACCTAAAGCCAAAGTTCTGAACTGTGTGATGACAAACACTATGTTTTATCATGGTATTCCTTTTATTGCAATCCAAAGAATTCACATTATCTAAAGGACATTTAGTATAGCTAATAAAATATGTAGGTAGCTACTCCATAGAAAAAAAAACTTTTATTTACTATTTCTGCTATAACAGAGTGTGATTTTCAAAAATTCTGCTGATTTTTATGGATCTATATCTTTTAGTTGTCTTTTTTTTTTAACTCCTTATATTAATATCAATACAAAGTACTCCTTCCGCTAGCATTTTTCTTTATCTGCAAGTAAAATCTGAAAACTTCTGTCATATTATTTATGAACACAGGATGTTTGCTTTTATTCAGTTGCTCTTTTTAAGTTAGCATTCCTATATTGAACAAGTACCATAAGTCTTTATTTTTACAGGAATGTTTATCTCTATCCATAATTATTATTCCATGGATGTAGGAAGCATGGTACTTTGATCTTCTGAAGGCACATTTATCATAAAGAACTTTAAATGCTGTCTCTGAATTGTTAAGTTTATTCTTTTCCTTACTGGAAGTCCTAAAATAGCAGATGCATACAGTGTTTAGAAGTATATATATTCTTGAGTATATAGGATCATGCTTAAGGCAATATTTTAGGCAAATGGATGCATATGTACTAGAACAAAGGTACCGATATTGAACCAAAAGAGTTAGGAGAGTCCAGTGTAGAAAGGAACCAGAAACTTAGTTTAACAGAAGGAACCAGAGACTTAGTTTAACAGTTTAAGAGAAGGGGAGAAGACAGAGAACTCAAGAGAAGGATATAAATCAAGAAAATATTACTATAGGGAGAAAGAAAATAATTTCATCTTTTATAAAGCCATACTTTACCAGCACCCAACTTTGTAAAACTCCCCCACTTTCTGTAAGTGAGCCATGTAGGAATCAATTGTTAAAATAAAGACTAATGCTGTATTTTATTAAATCTATATGTCTTTAATATGGATTTTATACTCTTCACATTGATTTTACATTTCTACAAACATCTTTAAATCACAATTACATTAGGAAACCAGCACATTTTATATGAAGGCAGAAGAACAATATTTTTGACTATTCAAAACCTTAAAAAAATTAATGAGTGCCATATTCTTCTTTTTCTATGTCTTCACTACAGTACTATCAGTCCCACAAAACACTGGTATCAGCATCAAAGGAAGGGTCAGCAATGTTTCACGTCAGAAGTTAGGACAATACTTTCGACATGGATTGTCAGAGAGGTAGCAAGTGAAAAGCTTCAGAAGTTATGGTAGCTAAAAAGAGTCAGGAAAAGAAAAAAAAACAGGGAAAGATAAGATAATAAGATCAAAAAGGACAGGAAAAACAAAATACACAGAAAATGGCAACCATAACAATTGTGTTTATTCATATTAGAAATAGTACAAGAATACTGACAGAAAAGGTGAGGAATAAGGCAGCCAGTCTTAAAGAGGTCCAGAGAAAAGACCTAGTACATTATGAAATGCTCAGTTATTCCTCAATTAAGGTGACAGCCCACTCACTTAACTTTAGTTTGAGCTAGTCAGTTCAGAGCAGGATTCCTGTGATGTCAATAGACTGAAATGGGCACCTCCAGAGGGCGATTCATCCCATCCTAAGGTCTGAATATTGGACTCTGCATAACATAGTTGAAATGTAATTAATTTTGTGAAGTTCACTAGGTATTTACAAACCTAGCAGCATATCTTCAAGCTGAACACTTACAGTAACAGCATCTGGATTAAAGTGAGATACAGCATATTTTCAACTTCCTTTAATCTGAACAAGGAAAATTTACAAGTGACTTTCATCCACACAGACCATGTAATAGGTTTGTGCTGCATAATATTTTGCTACTGAACACTACTTGTGTGCATTACACTGTGCATAAAAATGAAGACCGACCCTAACAAAATAAAGGAAGTTTGTTTTTCTATTAGAACTAATTAAGTACTTCTGGGGCTTTATGTTTATCCACTGCAAATAAAAATTAAAGCTTGATATCACTGGGATTCTATATTTGCAACATTCACAACATTGCAGTAAGGGCTGTTTATAAAATACAGCATGAAGTCTCTTATTTAGAACTTATAAAAGTTTTATGAATGAACATGAACAGTACAGTTATGTCAGTTTTTCAGTATTCAGATCTTCCCTGGGTGCCCTTAAAAACTGCTGCCCAGTGACACAGACGTGGTACAGGAACAGGAAACCTATCGCATAGCAATTTGTAGAATAGTTCTTACGTAGACCTATCTGTATCAGCAGAAATTAATACACTATATTCCAAAAAGCAGATGTTACCATTCAAAAATTACTGTGAACTGGCACCATAAGGCCTCTCCTTGCTCCACCCATTTTCCACTCCAGTCAGCAATGGGGCAGTTTTAGAGGGGATGTACATTTACTGCTGTACATCTGCTCAGACCTCAGTTACACTAAAGTGTTGCTCAGGTGGACAGTTAAGGTATTTTAAGCATACCACTGGGTGAATGTAAGAAAACGGGAGGTCCTTATCTCTGTAGTTAAAAAATAAACGGGTTTTTGCACGGTAAATCATGAAGACCAGTTACAGTCACTGTGTGAATAATAGTTAATTGCTTAGTTAAAAATACAAGATTTCCCTAAACATTTATTCTGCTGTAATACCATATATACTCAGAGGAATAATGCAGTAACTAACCACATAAACTAACAAATTACAGAATTAAACCTTTTTTGGCAATTTCCTAATTTATTTTATTTTATTACAGCTTATGGATGAAATCCACATACTGATGTCTAACCTGTAACAAATGCCAACGTAAGTAATCCATTGTTCTACAACTACATTTGATTATGAATGGATTGACTTTGCCTAGTTCTGCTGAACAATTAATCAGCAGTTTCTATTTTCAGTTTCAGCATTATTAGAATTAGGTTTTACATATAAATTTTGCCATTCCTAACTGTTATTGTCTGTCTGCCTGCACTCTTTCCCAAATGCTAGAGAGTAGAATTAAATGAAATACATATTAAAAAATGGCTTTGATTTTGTCATGTCTAATAATGGAGTTTTTAAGAGCTAACCTGGGAACACAGAACATTGAAGCAGTCATCATTTTCTAGTAGAATAATGCATTTTGTGATTCAGGTTGGCCCTGCAAGTCAATTTAAAGCCTTTCTTAGAAGAAACCATGTTAAAATAAAAATGCACAGTGAGTAAAGTACAACTCAGCACAGCAGTTAGTCAGAACGCTGAAGTCTTGCTCTGTTTTCCATGCAAGCACAAAGCATAACATATCTGAGCACTAAATACAAAATATTAGTGCAAACACTTACCTGACTCCTCCCTTTTACCCTATTATTTCTACTATGTTCAGTAAGTTTTTCTAATCTTTCCTTCTGTAAGGGAAAATAATTTCCCCCTGCTTTTTCCTGCTCACCTGCACAATTTCTGAAATTTCAAATTTTAAAAGGGCTATGAATCCAATCCTGGGGTGAAATACCAAGTTCTGAAAGGTTTTAGCATGGTTGAAGATCAGTGGCTTAAATTTTGAGTGTTTGTGTTCTTTCATTTCCAACAAATACATAAATCATCAGAATAAAGTTCAGCAATGAAAATCTATTTAGGTAACTGTAGTTGTAGAATGAAATCACCATTCTGTGAAGAGCTCTGCTCATACAGCAAAACATAATGATGATTTTTATTGATTTGAACTATATCATTATCTCTTACCTTATTTTTATGCTTGGCTGTTCAGAGAAGTGCACGTCCACTTCTCTCCTTTAGCAGCCATTCTAAATGATGCACTGAATGTTTCAATGAATGAAATTATTTATGCCTTTAAACACTTTATAACCACCTTATTATATTTAAAAGGATATAAAAATCTGGTGTTAAGACTAGTATATTGTGCACAAATGTAAATATTTTCTCTCCTGTAACAATTCCTAAACATTTATTACCAGCATCCACTACGTACATTTTTAGATGCCAGCTCCTCAAAACACAAAATCCATTGTTAGAATATTTTTTCAAGTTGCTTAAAAGCCATAATACCAAATGCTGTTTCACAGATAGTATCAACATTTGATGTTTCACTGACATGGTAACAGGAAGTCAGCTCAGTGCAAGTTACTTTGTAGAAGATAGTACCAGAACTTCAAGGTGTTACCTCTCAGGAATCATGAACTCCTGCAGTCTTTAAAGATAAAATGACACATGACAAGCAACGAGAGTAATGCCAATTGTTTGGGACCAACACTGACTAACTAAAAGAATGATCTCTATATGCACTATAGAAATCTGCCCAAGAAAGAAACACCAGAATAGCTTTCTATTAAAATAAGGTACCCTCTAACAAAAAGGAAAAAAAAAGTATGCTTTATTTTACTATTGTTATGGTCATCTTGGTACATAATCTATTTGTATGGTCACATGCTGAAAGGACAATTAATTTCTGAATTTGAAACTTGAGCAGAAATCATGCTAAGTTTAGTCATAGACATAAATATGCAATCATAATCAATATTAAGAAGCGAAAATGTTAAATAAAAGCTTAAAACTGATTAAAATATCTGACAAAAAAAAAACCCACTGCATTTTAGAAAAGCCTTGCATTTAAGGAATGCTCTAGGACATTGCTTTCAATATTTTTGCTGACTCTTTAGTCTTCACAAACAACTTTCTAGGAATCAGGAAAGTAATAATTAAGAAAAGCGACCATACTGTTCATAAGTTTCAACCTGTCTCCAATAAGTGCAATAATCCACTGAAATTAGTTATTTATTTTTAGGAAGGTCATAGATCACAGAAAAATGTAAATCAAAGGGACTAGGGTTTAGAAACCTGAGATTTTTTTCTGCTGTCTAGTAAAACAAACATTATCTAAAAGTCATAACTCACCATGTGGAAAAAACCCCCATCACATTCTTATGAGTATTACATGAAGCAGGCAAAAGGAACAAATTAATTAATCTATGATCAGCGGATTTCAAATGATGGGACATGTCCCAGTTGAAGAAGGTGCAAACTGTATGTTGGAAAATGGAAACATTATTATTTTTGTACCCAGCACTTCTACAGCATCTCATTTGGATCCCTTTGTATTCACTGGTGAGGCCACACGACCAATACTGTGTTTGGGGCTCCTTGCTACAAGACAGACATTGAGGTGCTGGAGCACCAGAGAAGGGCAATGAAGCTGGTGAAGGGTCTGAAGCACAAGTCTGATGAGGAGTGGCTGAGGAAATTGGGGTTGTTTAGCCTGGAGGAGGCTCAGGGGAGCCCTTATCACTCTCTACAACTACCTGAAAGGAGGTTGTAGCCAGGTGTCTCTTCTCCCAAGTGATGAGAGGAAATGGCCTCAAGTTGTGCCAGGGGAGGTTTCGATGGGATATTAGGAAAGATTTCCTTACTGAAAGAGTTGTCCAGCACTAGAACAGGCTGCCTGGGGAATTTAAAAGATGTGTAGACATGGCGTTTAGAGAGACGGTTTAGTGGTAGACTTTGTGCTGTTAGGTTTATAGTTAACTTGATGATCTTAAGGGCCTTTTCCAACCTAAATGATTCTATGATTCTGTTCTAAGATTTGTCTGTCTGCATCTGCAGTGCAGAACCCCATACACAGGAGGCAGAAGTGTAGCAGGACAGAAGAGAAGCTTTAGATAAGAGAGATTCATAGGACCATTTGTACCTTTGCGTGTAACTGTTCCTGGAGCAAGCAGAAAAGTAGGTTTTCCATTCGAAAGGGTCGTGTGCAGGAACTGGAAAAGAAAGCGAAGTTCCAGAAGACATGGGGAAGGGTGTAGCTAGGGCAGGTGTGGAATGAGCAAGAGTCAGTTAGAGAGCTGTAGCCATGTTCAGTAGTAAAGTGACTTCCAACTGATCCCAGTATATTTATCCAACTGTGATCTTTCCACCTCTTGGAAAAATTCCTTTTCTGATACCTATTCCAATTCTTCATCCACATACACTCATCCCCAGACCTACCTATGTACCCCATCACTGCTTCTGTACCCATATGCCTTGTCTAGACTCATGAATCCCTCTCTCTTGTCACTCACAGATGACACCAGGAAACCACCTTTTTCTACACTATAACAGAAGTCACTCTCTCCTCTCTTACATGTTCCTTTCTGGTACAAGACAAAAATTCCCCTCTTCTAGTAGCTCAAGCCTGAGCAAAGACAACTTCAGAATCATATAAGTTAGCAACAGTTATTTAGCAAGATAATACAAAACATGCACAAGTCCCCTCATATATGTATCAATACATGAGTAAGAAATATGGAACACAAAAAAGTTAAACAGAACATGGTCACCTGCCAACTTTCTTTAGTCCCTTTTAAAACACTACTGTCAACAACATTTGTTTCCAGTATTATGTTTAAATTTCATAAAATGCACTATAATAATTTTAAATAAAACAAATTATTTCTTCAAGATAAACATATTTATACCATTTGAATACAGCTTATAATTTGGTGTGTCTAAAATTTGACACTGCCGTAATTCCTAACATAAATATGCACAGTATGTTGGAAAAGATAACATCTCGACAAATTACTTATGGATGTGCTTGTATGACGCTCAGGACAATAGGAAGTAAGGATGTCAAGGGCAATTAAATACAAATATTTTATGATGCTAGAAAACTTTCAATAGCAGAAAAAAAAGTAGTAAGAGACACGATACGAAGACACAAAAGCTTTCTACAATGTAAGATTACCATTCAAGGTAATTGGAGGAAGTTGGTCAAATACAAGGCATGCTAATACTCATACGGAAAGTTTATGTCTGTTAATAATGACAGAACAGAAAATTGTAAAAATCTCTTTTTCTGCATTGAGAAACCAAATATTAATTCAAAGATGAATCTATATTCTAATCTAGTGGAGTGGACAAGTTTAATCTTTGTCTGATGAGGATCCAAGACTTGCAAAATTATACTCACTTCTCAGGAAACTAAATCTACTAGTCAGCAGTAGACAGGAAAAGTCAGGCTAGTGAAGAATTTTAAGGGATACTTAGGGATAACACAAAGATTAAGAACCCCACAGTTCTGTTACTAGGGAATGTGTGATGGGGCCAGAAGGATTAATGCTACCAGGCTGCTCTTCTTGGCTCCTTTCTGGGAACCTCTTGCCGTTGTTTCTGGCAGAGAGGCATGCAACCAGTCTAAAGCTGAGAAAGCGGGGCATGCTCTCTACTTTTCCACACACCCCAGTACAGCAGTTCCCATCTTCTTTGGAACAACAGATCATTATCAGTCCTTAGCATTTTTCAAAAACTACCACACACCCACCTGACCAAAATTTTAATTGGAAACCCTATTTGAAGCACTATTAACTATGGGTTATCCAAACAGGTGTTCAACTCACCACAGCCTTGGAGTCCAGCAGGGGTTTGCAGACAACAGCTTGGAAACCATTCCAGCTGTTCCAAAGGTACAATCATGTCTTCTACTCCATCCCTCTGGACCTTCTGCTTGCTGTGTGAAACACTTCTGCTTCTTTATCTGATTTCCCACGGGAGTAATTTTAGGGCCTGCTACTGCTTTTAATTTGTGAAGTAGCAGCAAACTGGTATTTTCCATTGCCCAAACGTTTGTAAAAAGAAGTAAAACTGATCTGCCCATCTGTAATATTGCTAGTGCCAGATAAAGGAAAAGACAGACAAGAAAAAACATCTATGGATTTAACAGACTTATTTAGAGATTTACTTATTTACAGATAAGCTATAATTCTGCACAGGTTAGATTTTTACCACAACTGGTTTGTGATAAGTGGAGCTTTCAAGACCAGGAAACTGTTGGGTTTTGTGCACTTGAAAACATGTATCCACAAAACTATCGTAGATAAAACTCTTTTGCAGCCTTTTGTCATCCTAAAGACCACCTAAATGAAACAATACACTGACCAAAGGCGTTTTGTTTTTCTCTTATGAGAAACTAGGAGTTACAGTTCCCTATTAAAAGGAGATTTATAGTCCCCCTTCCAGATATTCATGGTTTTAGAGACCTTTTTCACATTACCTACTCCTCAGTCAACATTCTTCCAAACTGAGGAATCCTGATCCATTTATTGTCCCTGCAGCAGAGTTATTCCATACGTCTTAGTCATTCTTTTCTATATCATATACAGTTCTCATCAGTGCTCAAACCTGACCAGCACGTCATTTGAAACCTCTGTTTCAAATACTATTTTGTCACTTTTTGCTAGCATCAGTTTTATACAGAATGATTTTAGAAAATTATCTGGAGCTGCTAAAATCCATGCAAACCCCAGTAAGGTGGCTTGAGAGCCCTGGCATCTCACAGCAGCAAGATACTGCCGATCAGTAAGAGTGATATTCCAATCCTGTGGCAGGCAGGACTCCAGGTTCAAAACCTGTACTTTTGGCTCATTGAGGCTGTGAAACCCTAAGAAACAGAGAGAAAGAATCTTCTCTTCAATTTGCAGCTCCTGCTGTTAGAAAGAGCAGCTACAAGTCCCTGCCTTCCTGAGTGGCAGAACCGGTCACAGCCTGCTGAGCTCACAGTTTCTGGTGTGATGGCTGCTGTAATCCAACAGCCACTGCCTCTCTCTGATGATAGATATGACTGAACAGTGGGGTCAGCAATATCTGGCCACTCTGACAGCCAAGGCTCCTGGATCACCACAGGTCCTGCTGTGAGATCCTTCTGCAGCTCTTCAGGGTCAACAATAGGTCTCACTCCAACTGTGAATATTTTCCTATTATCACCTGCAATCTATATCACTTTTTCAGACTGTTTTATGAACAGGTGGACCAGAAAAACTGCCAGTACAAACCCTTGTGAGGTGGCAGTGTGAAAACTGCTCATTAGTCACTATACTGTTCCTTATCTTCTAACACTTTACTAATCCACAAAGAATTTTAAGTGACTCTACACTTCATTTTGTTAACAGTCTTTGGTTACAGAACTTCTTAAAAACTTTCTCACTCTTTCCTGTGAATCTGTTGATTCCTTCAAATAACTTGCAAAGCTCTAAGACAAAAGTACTTCTAGAAAAGCCAAGACGATGATCGCCTGTTACACCTATCCACATTCCTATTAATGGTATTCTTTATCACATTTACCGGCATTTTGTCTGTCATGGTAGCCAGACTTTTTAGTTCCATTAGTTCACGACCATCTCTAGAGCCCTTTCTAAAACTAGGGTCAAATTCATTATTTTCCATTCCTCTGTTATCAAGGCTAATTTAAGTGACAGATTACAAAACACAGTGCATGGCTCACCAATTTAATTTCTGAATTTTTCTAGGACTACTGAATGAACATGTTATTTGGCAATTTATTAATGTTTATTCAATCAATTTGATAAAACATCTTTTACTGCTATTTCAAATCTGAACTATTTCTTACAAAAAATTATTTCTATGTGGGGATATCCCTAATCTCCATCATAAATCTTGCCAGTGCACTGAGTTCAGTTGTTTCTTTCTGTGATGGCTTTGTCTTCAATATTCTCCTTAACAACAACTATCTCTTAAACTTACCTCCTTACTAACAAAATTTACACCTGAAAAAAATAGGGTTTGGTTTTTAGAATTTTAGCCCATTGCATTTCAAAATCTTTTTATTCTACTTTATAATAGGTCTACATTTAACTTGCCAGAATTGTGCTCTTTTCTGCTTTGCTTGCTTGGATTTTAACTTTTTTAAAAAGCTCTATTAATTTCTAGTATTTTCCTTTATTGTTGAATTGTGTAAGATAATTCTTATTCAACTGGGTTGGACTCAGAAAACAAAGCCCCTGTGAATTTTTTAGTATTTATTTAAACTGTACCTTCATTAGTATGCAAGTCCTTTTTTACACAACACTGGGCCTTTTTTTTCATTTTATTTTAATCTTTTCTCTCCTACAAGTGTGATAAACTTGAATATGATATCTCACTACTGAATGGTTCTTCTATTTGTTTTATGCTGATCTTGACCAAATCAAGGGCTGTCCTCCTCTTCTGGATTCTCTACCTTGTTTGCCCAAAAAGTAGTTATTGATGATATCTAAATACACAGCCTGTGCAAGATGGCGTAATGTAGTAGAATGTTAAGTTTATCCAGTCTATACTTATATTACCAAGGACTCTTGCTACAATCAAGCTTTTGGGTTGTACAGCCTCTCCAATCTCCCACAGTATTTCACAACTGTCTCCATCCCATAAACTTATTAAACCCTTATTAAACTTCTCCTATTCAGCTAATTACATTTTTTGTTTATTCTGATAAAATTATTCGACTATAATTTCTTTGGTACATACAGTACCATTTGTCTGCATAGTCTAATCTACCATCTGTATTTCAGCCAGCACTACACATCTCATCATCTCTCTATGACCTATACACTGACATTTCATTGTCCCTTTGAAAGAAAGTAAAGGGTTACATGCAGACTCTCTTACAGAAAAAGGGTGACATACCTGGGGAATTTCTAATGGAATTCATCCTTAACACTCCTCTGAAGAATCATTACCCTCA